AAATAAATAAACGCCCCGCGCTTCTGATTATATCGGTATAACCGCTAAAACTGGAAACTGGAAAAAATATTGAACCTACATCACGTGTATTTTCCTGTCGAAGTAAATATTGTATTAAAATGGAAATGAAAATATCGTCTCGGACTTCCGCAGGACAGTTAACATATAAACTAAACTTGTCGTTTTCAACTACATGAACTAACTGGAACTGTGCGACGTTAGCTTTTAAAAACTTCGCATTCTAGCATCGAGTGGTTTATGCGAAAAAGAAGGTTATTTTAACAAAATAACCGACCAGTCCTTAACGATTGCGGAAACGAATTGATTGATAATCACTTCCTCTTCAGTAATTGACGTAATTGGTCTCCTGGAAGCTGACTCTTTCATTAAAAGTTGAATTTGTGAAATATTTATCAGTTTACGAAATGACTTTAGGTCATGAACAAAACAGAATATCAACCCGGCTGCGGTATAAAGTTTTCAACTCATGTTTGAATAAATCTCTTCCTCGCAGGTTAATAAAAAATAGGCGTTCGTCCTACAACAAACCAGTCGGGATTTTCCTATGGCTCTTCTTCGAGGATTTAAATAGCCTTTCGTAAATAATTTGTTTAAAACTCGCCGTTTTGTTTTACTAATGACGCTATTCAATATCGACACGAAAGAAGGGAAATTGATAATTAATTTTACACCGTCATTGTCACCAGAATTTAAAATTCCCGACTTCTCTGAGTTTGAGGTCAATCACCCCTTGAGAATCAATACTATTTCAAGAAAATTTCGTCTATTTATGGTAACGAGCTGTTGCAACTTCCTAGCCATTTGTGTTCCTTTATATTTGAAAACTGCTTACGTCAGGAGTTGTAGCTTAAGCCGTATAAATTAAGATGGAATCCGTACCACCTTGAAAACGTTTGGACTTCTTAAATGTCGTGGTCGGTGAAAGTCAGGTTGTACTAGCTAAGCCTTTATTTTCATCACAGTAGATGGTAAGCATAATTGCTCTGTTAGACAAACAAGGAATGTTACCTGTACAAACGGCCGGCGTTAAGTGGGTTTTCCGTCTACGTCACACTGGAATTTCCAACGACGGAAAACGGACAGTTCAAAAACCGCGCATCCCGCATAACGGAACATGTCCCTGCCTAACCCCCATTGGGCAATCGACATCACCATGAAGCCTTGAGTATTAAATCAATGTACAGACCTGCTCGTGCATATTCTTACTAGTTGATCGCACAGGTTTTGACGGATGTAACAAGGCCTATCCTATTCAACAGTTTATTACAAATACCTCCTGAAATCGGGGCTACGGCGAAGCCAATCAGTGAGATATATAGAGAAGCTCGCCAAAAGGTAATTCAGCTGATCAATTTTGAGTCTACCTGATTTAATTGGAGTGAAGTTATGCCTTAAAACGCGACCGAATAGAAACTGTGCCCTTTTAAACTATTTTTCGCATTGAGAGTATTTTGGGCGTACCTGGCAGATTTTTGCCATTACTAGGAGCCTAATCGGCCCATACAATTCGCCTTTATTTGCACATAGTATAGACTGTTTTTAGATCCTTCATTTTCTAACGTGTTTAATTTTTAAATTTAAAAGAAATAGTAGTACACAGTTCGCTAAATCTAAATGGTTGATTACATGACCATGTTCGCTTTAGCCTGTTCCAGGCTCCGAGATGGTGGTGGAAAGTCGTTCAGTAATAAAAAATGCGAAAAACGCGCGAGGGCTGGGGAGAGACAGGGCGGCGGAGCCTGTACGCATTTTTTTAACGGCCTGTTCCGGTATATCAGCTCCTGATATACCCTCTGATTGGTCAATTGTGACAGTTAACATCATCACCTAGGGACAGAGAAGGCATCCTCCATACACACCCTATTCCATAGGTAATTCGTCTCGAGTTATTTTTAAGACCACAGATCCCAAGGGGGGATTAGACAACAGCCAATCACATAGCGGGAATGTGTTCCGCGTGGATGTACCACGCTCAGAGCCACGCGTCCTTCACGAATTGAGGCAGAAAAAAATGGCGGAAGACGCGGAGAGCAATATTGCTTTTCGTTTTGTCGACGAAAACGACTAAAGAGAGATTTCTGCTAAGGCTGTGTCAGCGAAACGGAAATTAAAAAGAATCGCCCCTCCTCTCTTGTATAGAGCTAACAGTACAGCAGGGAAATCCTTAACACAGTGAATATTCTCTCAGGATCATTTATAATTTATAGTTTGAAGAAAGCAATTTCTGGTTTGATATTTAGTCTTTTATTAGTCTTTTATTATTCAACAAAAATAACACTTGGCGTCCTATAATAATAATAATAACAATAATAATTTAATAACTTCTAGAGCGCTCTTTACATTCACTGATCAACAGCGCTCAACAACTTAAAAAAACTACAATAAAATTCAAATTTGTAAAACTAATTACATGACATGAATATTACTTGCTACTTGCTTTATTGAACAAACGACCTGTTTCAATAGACCGGCGAAATTTCTCATTTTATTAAAGCACTGAGGTTACGATATCTTCGAGTTAAGCTGATTTCACGGGTTGTCAAAGAGTCGAGCGATTCCCTTTTCCCAGGTGAGCGCCGACTCATTTCGCTTCAATATTCAGAAATGCTCTCGATCTCTCTACGCTTTCATTGCCTTTCACCCGACATGTTTTGCATGGCGTTTAGTCAAGCGAAACCTCCTCGAAACATCCAAGCAGCGCGCGAGCTAACTTTATCCCGATTCTAAAAATAACTCGAGACGAATTACCAATGGAATAGGGTGTGTAAGGGGGATGCCTTCTCTGTCCTCTTTATCCTCTCTTGGTGATACATGTTCTGATCTCCCCCACCCCCATCCTTAACAAAAAATTTTCAGATCAACACTGAAGACTACGTACAAAAATATGACCATCTAAAGGCAAGGTTCATCATTGTAACTTACCACATAAAAGTCTTTTGGTTGTTTGCCATCGACTGATTCTGTTCTGAATACTGAGGTCACACAAACAACGCTACGTTTAGAAAGAGCCCGCCCTTTCCCATCCAAGAAAACCCAAGTAGCAATTTCGCCAACGGACATAAAAAAAGGACCGTAAAAAAAGGACCGCGTCAAATAGTTCATAAAATCACACAAACGCCTCACGACACCTTTACTTCACTCTTTCTTCAATAAACTTATTTTTTAAGGATAAATGACGTCAGAATGCGCGTTTACAAGCATAGTAGGCTTATGAAAAGAAAATTTAACCAATGCACATGAAAGCGCCTAAGACGGGGACTAGGGGGAGTTAGGAACATCGTACGTATCGCTGAAAAAATATTGGCTAGTTCTCTGAATAGACATAATTATAAACGTTTTTGTTCAGTAAGGAGCTGTTAGATCAGGGAAAAGCGACATAAGGTAGATCACGTCAGAATACGGCGCAGGACTAGCCTCTCAAAAATCGATAAGCCTGCAAGACCAATCATTATGTGAAACAAAGAAAAATTCCGTGAGGGAAAAACTTATGGCTAGGGAAAAGACTCGAAGGTAGAAAGTTAGGATCGTAGCTTCTTTTCAGGTAACATTTCCTCAGGCCCGTACATGCGTTAAGAAAATCCATAAAGGTTAACAAAAAACGACCTTCTCCATGGCTGAAAAAAAATTAATTGACTGGACAGTGCTCTAAAAATCGATAAGCGACGATTATTTTTCTATATATTTAAAAGAAAAGCTATGATGACTTCAGCCGTGCTCCCATAAAGACCAAAGAAGCATATATCACTTAGGCACCAAGCCAAGGGAAAATGGAGCAAAAATTTCCAATTTTTCCCTTGACGAAAGGACTATGTTACCTGTTTGACTTTATAGCGGAGCTCTCGCGCGCGAAGCGCGCAGCGGAGCACCAAGGGTGAAAAAATGTGGTAAACTACCCATCCGAGAAAATTTGGTAATCACGTGACCGTACGCCGACCGACCGCCCGCCCGCCCGACCGTACGTCCGCACCACAGACATACCAATGTAAAATAATTCAATTAACAGGTGTGGCAACCCAAATGCAACTCAAGGTTTTATTTGGAAAGAAATCGCATGGCCGCCCGGACTTTTAGAAAGAAAAAACAACAACAAAGTCGTGTCTTTTTCAACGTTATTTTTGATGTTTACACTCACGTGGATAACAGAGAAACTGATCTAGAGCTAGTTTCTGAGAACAAAAGAGAAGAATTTTGTAGGAAGAAAAACATGAAAATTCAAAGCGGCTGTGAGACAATGAGAAATGCTAGTGGCCAGCAAGGTGAAACTGAGTGGCAGTGAAAAATAAAAGCGAACATCAACACAGGAGACAATTGGGTAAGAATTCCTCCATAAAAATAATGTGCAACTAGGAAGTTTGACGTCTAGTCCTACAAAACAGCGTTGTAGTTGTGCAAAACAACGGCAAAGAAGGACGATAAGACGATAAGGATAAGAAAAAAAAGTGTGCTGCACGTGTAATTTGTTTTTTTTGCTAATTAGATCTATTGATGCCATTTCCATTGGCCTCCCCGTTTAGCATTAGACGATTTAAGTTTTTTTGTTTACAAGTTTTATTAACAAGAGCTTCGCTTTTAGCCCTGGCTAAATCTATATATTAAAAAGTGACATAAGGCGATCTAAGGCGACTTAAGGCGATTTTAGGCGACTTAAGGCGACTTTGGGCGACTTTAGGCGACTTAAGGTCCCAGAGTAGGCCTATTAAGTTTAGCACAGAAAGGTTTTCTGTTTCATAAATCTAAGCGGATAAGACAAAGGCAGTTTATTTCATGCATGTACTTTGTGTACATCACAGGTCTGCAAACTCTTTTGTTTTACCACAGTTATTACGCCGGGAAAATTCTTCTGCAGACGAACAGGTTCAATCATCGCAGGTTTAATTTGAAGAATGAAGAAGTCTCACTACAGTTGCGGAGAATTTTTAGGTATCTACATAGTGTTAGCAATTTTAAGCCTGAGAGCAGGTCAGGGCGAGATCCAGGACTGTCCACCTTGTAGGTGTAGTATTCATGATCCTGCGACTCAACGTGTAGCGGCATTTTGTCGATACAAAAGTGGGCAGAAGTTGTCAAAAATCCCGATGAATTTTCCATCAGATCTCATTGTTTTAATAATGACTTCGCAACAAGTCCGTGAGTTAGACACAACTTCCCTGAAAAATTACTCCAATCTAGAGAAGTTGTATTTGGATGGAAATAATCTCAAAACGATACGAGCGGGAGCGTTCTCTAAGCAGCAACATCTAACTTTGCTTTACCTCAAAGATAATAAACTTGGCAACATCAGTGCAGAAACGTTTCGAGGACTTGGGTCTTTAACAAGCCTCCAGTTGCGCCAAAACAAGCTTCAGAAGATTTATCGAGGAGGTTTCTCCTTCATGCCAATGATAGAGGACATAGACCTTAGTTTCAACGAAATAAGCGACTTAGAGGAAGGTGCTTTTGATAGGTTGGATCACTTGAAAACTCTTTTATTAAACAGAAATAAACTAAAAAGAATACATAGCAGCACTTTGGGGAACCTGATGTCTCTAACGCGACTTGAGCTGGCTTCGAATCAGATCCAAGCAATCGAAGAAGGTGTTTTCAGCTGTTCGCCCCTTGTGAAGACACTTGTTCTCAAGGCTAACAAGTTACATGGAATTCCCAAAGAAATTTTTTTGGATCTACAGTTTTTAGATCACCTTGATATGAGCCAAAATCCAGTATATTATATTGAGTCGGATGCTTTAATGGGCCTACGAAGTTTAAAGACGATAAAATTAAACGACTGCAACATTTCCGGGATTCAAAACAACACTTTCTCTCCGCTTGAAAACATCATCACTATTCACCTTGAAAACAACCCACTGAAATGCGACTGTCATTTGAGCTGGATCCTTAGCTGGTTGTCAAGAAAGCCAGAAGGTACGCTAAAAGGAGCTGTTTGTCGAACCCCACTAAACATTTCAGGTCAAAACTTGTTATCAGCCAACTTGAGGTCATTTGTTTGCACATGCGCAGATTGCAACAAAGAAGTCGCTTGCAGAGTACCATCGGCCAATTGTTCCTGTACCCAAAACCTAACGGGACTATCATGTAATGATATCTGTCAATCACATACCCAACCAGTGACTTGGTGCAGAAAACAAGATGGAAACTGCTCTCGCAAGAGTAGTGCTGTTTCCCAGGAAACGGGCAAGACTTCAAACTGCTCGTTTAACGTAACTTCAGAAAAATGCACCGAGCATGGTGAAGTAGCGAAAAAAGGAGCTCATTTAGAGTGTGTCTGTCAAAAAGGATTCACTGGAAACGGAATCATCTGCACTGACATCAACGAATGTAAAACTGGAATAGCATGTCTTTTTGAACATCAGGTGTGTATCAATACAATGGGCTCATATCGCTGCCAATGTAGTCAAGGTTTTAGGTACATGATACCTGGAAGAATAAGTCCCTGTGAAGATATTGATGAGTGCAAGGAAAATAAACCATGTGATCTTCACGCCAAATGCCATAACATTAAAGGTGAGTATAGTAATACCAGCGACCAACTGGTAGGCCTGTCCCGATTGTGCTCGCCGGCAACTTTTGCGGTTGAGAGTAATCTTTTGCGGTTCCAGCAACCACGAGCAACTTTTGCGCTTTCTGAGCAATTTTTGAGCAAAATATAGGTTAAGTGCACATATCAAGCACGAAACAGTTAATGATTTCACAGAAAGCTGCAAGTTATGCGAATTTCTTGAGTCTTTATCAACCTATTATGGAAAAAAGAGTAATTTTCATACAACGTCGTAAGATTTACAATTGTTGCCGTGTGCCGGTATAATGTTGTTCAAGGCTCTCATAGCGAGCTAATGGACTACCTGTAGTTTCGCCCATGTTTGATTTTTGGCACTGAATATTAGCAATTATTTGCTTAGCATTCCAGTAAGCAACTTTCCAGCCTTTTACGAGCACAATCGGTCGGGACAGGTCTATCAACTGGAATTACAAACTCCCCTTCCCTCCCATTTCATCCTCTCTCGCCCCCCCCCCCCCCCCTTGCCGGTTTATATATTTTTTTTTGTTTTAAGCATACATATAACCAGCGCGGGGGTTACAGATTTTATAGTAATTAGAAAAACACTTTAAAAAGGTTTAAAACTCTTCTCTCTATTTTTTCTTGTATATNCCTGATTTTTGGCCTGATTTTTGGCTAACTGTATCCTCCAAAGGTCTGTGACACAAATCGATAGCAACAAGCAATCACAGAATGCACCCCTGATTTGGTCCTTTAAAGGAATAAGATATAGAATAAATGATGGGCTACCCCAACGGTAAGGAGTTTTAAATCTCAACACGCGAGGTGAAGATAAAAAATAGAGGAGGGCATGTTGATGAGCATTACATTAAGCTAGTGAGAGAATGAATTAGATAACAAGTGTTCACACGGATGTTGTCCTACAGTATCATCAATCATTTTTACCAATTAAGGACAAATTCCTTTAAGAGTTTTCAATGGCT